CTTTGAAATACCAGTTGTTATCTAAAAGCAGCCTTAGAGGCCAACGACTTAAGTAGCTCAATGGTCATTTCCTTCCACTAGAAGTAAGAGATTCTGAGTTCAAGTCGCATGGTATGCGGGTGAGGTGGGATAAGGGATGGGAGATGGTTGCCTCCCATTGTGCAACCAAAAAAAAAAAAAAAAAAAAAGCAGCCTTAGAGCTGACCTGGACAAACCACAACAATTGGCATTTCTAATATTACATACATTAGAGAGACAAGGCTAATAAAATTAAATCAATGTAATCAATGAAAAGGGGGGAAATGCTGTGGAATTCATAAGGTTAAAGACATTAGGATGCTGTTCAGAAAAAAAGGTTAAAGACATTAGGAACGAACCAACAGTATCAAGGGCTCGAAGAACCAAATAAAATATGCACACCTGCAAAGCAACAAAAGACATGAAGTGAACAGACGATGTGAGAAACAATATATATAAGATGGAAATGGAACAAGCTAAAAAAATTGCATCAAGAATATGACCATAAGATATAGATACAGAAAAGTAAGTTGTTTATAATACCTGGATGATTGAAACAGTGAAACATATTAAGGGGCTAATGTCCTCTATCTTCCCACCTACTTCTTATTTTACTGAAACTTTGAAGGCTGTAAGAGCTAAATTGCCTTCTAATTCCTATCATTCTCTACATTGACATACGAGACCAGCTCTTCCAGCAGAAATCCCAAAATTAGAATATCTCACCGTAAACTTGCATTTAGTCAATCCAAAAACTAAACCCATCAAATTTGCAAACCCAATATACATTAGGGAACACACATCCGCCATGACCGGACAGAATTAAGTCCATCTATCTCCAATACACCAGCAATAAATTACATTAAAAAAAAAACTCAGAAATCGGAAATCCACATATTATGCAAGAGATCCAAACCTCAACACAAATTCTTTCGCCTACAAGTTTCTCAAAAAACCAACAATCACCACAAGCAAAATACACGCGTTATATATCTCAAGATATACATATACGCGACACTTACAGCGTTCCTAAGCTCCGGTCCAAGCTGTTGAATGACCAGAGCAAAGCTGCGGGAGACCTTGTGAAGCATCGTGTAGCAGAAACCCCAGTGAGGCTCGGGCGGAATCTGCTTCTCCGCGTACTTCATAGCCATTTTAAGCTTCAACAACGGATATAAATCATCTGGGTGTCTCCAAACCGCTTTCAAAGTCCCCATCTCTGAACCCAAACCCAAAAATCAAAATCTGTATATTGGGCTTCGAGCAGAAAAGACTGAAAATTTTGTGATGTTCTCACAATAACTGACGGATTATATGGACGAGTCGAGATGGTGATGGTATTTGGTCTATCCTGGCGTCTATTAAATGGTAAACGATTTCCCACTAAATAATAAAAGAAAGTATAAATTTAAACAAAAAAAAACTAAAAATGA